CTTAACCTACTAGACCACTAAGCCGGCCGGCATCCAACAGTGTTCATGTCTAATCTCAACCAATCCACGTAATTACACGACCATCTTCCATTGTACTATGGTAGATACCTGTCTCTACCCGACACAAATTAGCTCCACTGGTTACGGCTTCAAGATCTCAATCAATAACTTAATAATCTCCACAACCCTATACTACTACTAATAATAATAATAAAAGTATCGTCAACATAACGATAGTAGAATTCAAGCTTATCAAATAATAACCCTATCAACACTAAAGAATTACATAATCATGACATTGGCTACTATTAATCAATGATTATCCAATATAAGGATAGAATGAAATGTCACTTTGTATCCATTCAAACAATATTGTCATATAGTATACATTTGAAGACTATGACAACTTACACACACACGCACATACATACATACATACACGCGCACACACACACATCTACCTACATATGTCAGACAATCGGTACAAATCATAGTGAAAATACAAAAAAAAACTTTTTTTATTAATAACAGAACCCACTAAAACAATAACAATCTTAACCAATGCAAATATTTACATCGTAAGATTTTTTTTGTATTTTTGAACAAAAAAAAAACAAACAAACAACCAAAACAAAACGAAAAAACACTAAGGAATTTGAAATAAAAACGCGCCTGAAACAATAAAAAAAATGATAATAATAATAATAATAATAATAATAATAAAAACTCAGATACATAAATAACAACATTGAAAGTATTCAACAAGCTTTACAATAGTAATGGTAATAATAATAATAATAATAATAATAATAATAATAATGGTAATATAGGCTTAGTAACAAAGTAAACAAGTTTCATGTATCGAATCGATTTTCTAACTCTAATTCTATCATTCATCAAGGATCACATGCTCCATGCATTTCGTTGTTGTTGTTGGGGGTGGTGGTGGTGGTGGTGGTGGTGTGTTTATATTAATAATATTCATAAAGTCAAATAGTTGATCTATAATTATGAACATAAAATGACGTAATTAACAGTGGTAATAATAATAATAATAATATTAGAAGGGGTTTTGTGGATATTGTACTCATTTTAATGGTTGAAATCATGAGTCAATTGAAGCTAAACCTCTATGGTCTAATGGTTAAGCGCTCGTTCGCGCAAGCGAGATTGATAGGTCTTCAGTTCGAATCTTGCGAGGCGGGATCGTAGATGCGAATTGCCACTGAGGAGTCCTATAATGGGACGAAACGATCATCCAGTGCTTCCAGGTTTTCCATGATGGTCTAGCTTCAATTGACTCATGATTTCAACCATTGAAATAATAATAATAATAAAGGTAGAGTAATGACAGTTTAAATAGATAGTTTTCATTATAAATTAACTTCAAATATACGGAACTGATAGAAATCACTAAATTGAGATTAACAACAGTGTATGGGTAATGATTTTAGTGGAGTTTCGTTTTTTGATCTGGATAGAGATTACATTAATCTATTGAACAACATAATCACCAAGAGCTTCAGGTAGAAACGAAACGTTCAAATTTCTCCATATGTGATGATTAATTTATCCTGTAAACCTCGATCTTAATTGATTATTATTGACCTTTAAACTTGATAAGTCTTGTGATTTTGAACGCTATGCTCAGTTCCTAAGCTATTCTTGAAACCCACAAGATAGAACTATACAGCGACTTGAACACGAGAGAGAAGGCATAAAGTATGCGAAAAGTACTTTACTCCAAAGGTTCATTTTAATACAAAAAACATAGGGTTTTTATACTATTTTAAATGTCCTTGGGTCGCTCGAAGATTCTGGAATGCTACTAAACATAGTAGCGGTATAACAATTAACTAATCAGAACCTCTACATGTGACGCTTCACATCCTTGATATTTCTGGCTAAACTCCAAGTGAACGCTGATTCGATGAAATGCTTCTTAAGGTTTCCTGATCCTTGTGTGTCTTTTGCGAGAAGTTTTCTGAATCATCCCAACAAAACTGTTATTGCAGGTATTTTTATTTTGATTGTATCACCTTTTGATCTGATTCGTAGTCTTGTATTTGTTCATGGATTTTCTGTTTGGTTGATAAATTGGATCGATTTCAATATGTTTGTGGACTGCTGACTGACCTAAGTGCCAAGCTTCTAAAAATTCTTTGGTGTTTTTAGTATTCCCTTTATCTAAGACTTCAACATTTTTCCAGTTGAATGTATATCCCTAGTTGTCCATGTGCATCGATATCCGCGAAGATAATACCATGGTGTTTGACCACCAGTTGGTGTCCATACATTCCGATCAAGCAGCAATAAACAAACACATTGAAATCGAAACCAGGAGTTCCTCTAACTTACATTAAGAAAATGAAAGAAAGTTACAAGAGTATCGTCACTACCTTATATTCTGAGCTATTTCTGACAACAACTCAAGTCACCGTGTCACATCCTCTCTAAGACCCCAACCAGGGAGTTGTGAAGGACTAACAGAAGTCAGTCACGTACAGCTTTTTTTCGTACTACAACACCATATTAAAAACTGACCACCTCTTCGATTTTTCTAACCAGTCCCGGCATCGGCAAATACTGCACGATGTGGAATTCTATGGGAGGACATCTGTATTACATGTACAAGTCAATGAAACCTGTATTTCAAGATGGTGACACAAATTAAATTTTCATCACTGTATCAAAATACAGGTTGTCGCTTAACATTTTCAACTTGGAGAACAAGACTGTTCTCATTGACGCTTTGTAGATCTGACCTTTTACAGTCAGACTAACATTACGAAGACGGCAAAGATGACCTGAATTTGCATAAAGCACTCTGGCTTTCACCACACGTAAATTGATCTCATCACTTACGCCACCACCAGCACTAACATAGCTACCCAGATACACGAACATCCATTGGCTCACTATCAAGAGTGAGTGCAGGCACAGGGTCCTACCATTCTAATGAAAGTATTTCTCACTCAGGTGCAAAACACATCTCATACATACGGACACTAAAGGTTAGGTGTGGATTGAAGGACTTGAGTATCATAACAAAATAAGACAATATCATCCACATACTCAAGGTCAGAATATCTTTATCCAGTTTGTAGATTCGCACCACCATTACTCACATCTATCGGTGTTGTTTCTAAAACGTCATCGCTTACGAATTTGATGAGGTATGATGAGATTGGTCAATCCTACCTAACCCTACTGGTTGAATGAAACAATGGAGTGAGGTAGTTGTATGTCCGTAACTCTTTTATTTTAATTTAACGCATAGATATTGGTACAAGGAGGCACCAAATATATATGCACCACACAGATCTCATTTGATATGTGTGAGGGCTGTGATACTGCCCGGGTGCCCAAACCGAAGCAGGTGGTTTTCTTAGGGGGCCACACCCCGAACCTGATCCACAAGGCAGTGGAGCATCGTAAGGAGATGCAGTCCCATGGTAGCTGGTGACCAGCGATTGTTTCATACGGCATTTATTCCCTCAGGATACTGAAGCCCATTAGCACCATTAGTTTGGGATCCGGTTAAAGCGCCGGACATTCGCTTTTCGTCCTCCCCACTCTCGGCCGTACCAGGGCATTTGGGGGGCCCGTAACTCTACCTGGGGTGTATAATTGTATATAGGGTCTTCAGGATGCTAATAAACTTCTTAAGCACATTCTTCTTCAACAGACAATTTAGTAGTATAAAGTTTTCGTTTCAACTAACTAGGTTAATAAGTAAGAGAACATTTTTCCTCTTTTGGTGAATTATAAGTTAGAAGGGCTTCTACTTTATTTCGTTTGTTAATATTTAATATAGAATCGATTACTAGCATGTAGTTTACATCACTAACTAATCTGAGTTATACAATTATTGCAAACCAAGAAGTAGTGGGCACCATATGCATCCTGGTATGAACTTCCCACCCATAACCTGAATAGGGATTAGACGCAAGGTCTTTCAGATCTCATAGCGAGCGTGTAACGTTCAAACTAATGAGTACTTAGTAGTAACGTTTCTTATCATTATTTTAGGCCGATCCCATTACAACCTAAAATGAGAATTAATTTCATAAAGCCAATAAGCAATTTTTACCAGCAAGTATATCTATTTGTATGCATTCGATTGAATTCATATTTGTTAGTAAACCACTTCGTTGTTTTACTCATCTACTTATGCTTGTTATTCTTCGTAGAATATAGGCTACCATACAGAATTCTCCCTACAACTCTCATTTACAGTCACCACAAAGTTCTACTCATTCTTCAATATCTGACTACAATTCCATACATCATATGTTCCCTGCTTTACCATTCCGAATTTCACTTTATGCATTCCAAGTTACGACTTGCATCGTGATTCAGTTTTCAATGATTTCCGAATTGTATATCCTATCCACTTCCTAAGTCTTTACCTAATCTTCTCCTCATTCGAAGACTGATTAATCCTCTATCAGAGTAGGTTGTTGTTGATGGTGTTTGATCAAGGGATTTGACTAATCTTGCATAGAAACTTGTTTATAAATGCCTGTACATTTTTCGTGATAGTTGTAGTAGTTCTTCAAGTTTTCACTCTGTTCAATAGAATTGTCTTGATGTTTTCAATAAACCTCCAAGTCTGGCGTTTTGCTGATAGTTGTTTTGAGTTCCAAATGTCCTTTAGTTGTAGGAATATTGCCCTTATTTTGCCAATTCTTGCTTTCACATCTTTATCAAGTCTCCCTTACTTGTTAGTGATACTATTCATGTAAGTAAAAGTTTTAACCTCTTTCAAAGATTCTCCATCGAGTGTGATTTTATTTCTACTCAGTGTGTTGCATTTTAGGATCTTTTTTTCCATTGAATGTTTGAACCTAACATCGTTGAAGCTGTTGCTAAATTAGTCTTATTCGCCTTCATTTCTAGATGAGCAATACCCTTTCTAGAGCCATTCTTGGGTTACTGCTAGTTCCAAACTTGGATAAAGTAGGAGAATTAGGTATTGGGTTCATCATCATCATTACCATCAACATCCAAAGCATCATCATCATCATCCAAAGCATCATCTTCATCATCATCGTCATCCAAATCATCATCATCATCATCATCCAAAGCATCCAAAGCATCATCATCATCATCCAAATCATCATCATCATCATCATCCAAAGCATCATCTTCATCATCATCATCATCAACATCCAAAGCATCATCATCATCAAGATTATTAGACAGAATATAATTTATCCTCCATTTTGCTTAAACTGTTTTATAATACTGACTCATTACATGAACATTTAAATAAACCGGAAGTTATTTAATTATACTGAACCACTATTGTTTATTTCTCATGACTAACAATATAATTTCATTAAAAGAAAATTGAATAGTTTTAGCTTTAACTAGACTAAATTCTAAAACTTAGTAGAGCTAATGACTTTAAAATATTTCAATAGTTGAATTCATAAGTCGTCGTAAACTAGATCATTATAGAAAATCTAGAAGCAATAGATGGTTGTTTCATTTTAATATAGGACTCTTCAGAAGTGAATGAATGATTGATTGTACAGTCATTCATGGATTATTGGAAGTTAGACATTAACAGGCCTCAACATACACAAAGGGAAAACCAAGGTCCTCAAACACAACATGGAGAACAGCAGTCTAATCACTTTTGATGGCGAAACTCTGGAAGATGTAGAATCCTTCACATACCTGGGAAGCATTGTCGATAAACAAGGAGGTTCAGGTGCGGACGTTAAGGCGAGGATTGGCAAAGCTAGAGCGGCATTCCTTCAACTGAAGAACATATGGAACTCAAAACAACTTTCAACCAATATCAAAGTCAGAATCTTCAATACGAACGTCAAGGCAGTTCTACTGTACGGAGCTGAAACTTGGAGAACTACTACAACCACCATCAAGAAGGTACAGGTATTTATTAATAGCTGTCTACGCATGATACTCAACATCCATTCGCCGGATACCATCAGCAACAGCCTTTTGTGGGAGAGAACCAACCAGCTTCCAGCTGAAGAGGAAATTAGGAAAAGACGATGAAAATGGATAGGACATACATTGAGGAAATCATCAAACTGCATTACGAGACAAGCGCTAACTTGGAATCCTGAAGGGAAGAGGAAAAGAGGAAGGCCAAAGAACACATTATGTCGGGAAATAGAAGCAGATATGAAAAGGATGAATAAGAACTGGAAAGAGCTGGAAAGGATTGCCCAGGACAGGGTTGGATGGAGAATGCTGGTGAGCGGCCTATGCTGCTTCACGAGGAGTAACAGGCGTAAGTAAGTAAGTAAGTAAGTAAGTAAGTAAGTAAGTAAGTAAGTAAGTAAGTAAGTAAGTAAGTAAGACATTAACAGCGTCAGATACAAGCTCAGTGATCTAGAGATTAAGCGTTCATGTGAGAGACTGGAAATCCTGGTTTCAAATTCCGCTTGCAAGCTCATGGATGCTCACTGTTGAAGAGTTCAATACTAGGACGAAACAGTCATCCAGTACTTTCAGGTTTCCCATGGTAGTCTAGCTTACACATCAACTCAATTCCGACTGGAAACAATTCTATAATCATTGATCATTTAGTCGTAAAATAAAGAACATTGAACACTTGCTAATACTGATTTAACATGCAGATTAAAGCTGATATCATGTTTTATTTATCTAATTAAAGGATGATTATGGTGATTACCCTTCCTATTTTTAAATGACTCATTTCTATATTAAAATTGTTGACCAAGTTATCACTTTATTCAGTGTTGTAATCAAGTTACTATTTAGTAAATCCTAAAACGAAGTTACTTCATATATAAAACTAACAGGCTTTAACTTGCCCCCGGATTCCCTGATACGATCAAGAGTGGGGAGAGTTCTCCTACACTCGCAAAATGATCTCACATGGCCACGCGTATACAGCCACTAATAGGGAAGTCTTGCTCACTGACTTCTCACGGTATTCTTGTTGTTTACGAAGTTGGGAGGACAAAATGCGAATATCCGGAGCTTTAACCGGGTTTGTGAATACGGATGGTCTACCTAGAGGAGTTGACAAACCCTGATTCCAAACAAATAGTGCACATGAGCTTCAGGATCCTGAAGGAACAAATGCCGTATAAACCAATTATTGGTGACCGGTTCCACTGCCTTGTGAATCAGACCTTTAGGTCGAAGGCTCCGAGTGTGGCCCCGTAAGAAAACCACCTGTTTCTATCTGGGCACCCGGACAATATCACAGCCCACACACAAATGAAGTGACTCGTGTGACGTACACGTATTCGGTGCCCCTCTGTACCAATATTTATATGTTCAAATAAATAAATAATGCATTAACTTCAGTTGTTATATAAGAGGATGAATGCACCTTTAGGATAATCATACATTGATTAGACTTTTGAAATTGTACCTCAATGTTCGAAGGTTATTTAGTTGAATAATTGAGTACCAGCTTCGCAAAACGTTAAAATTCGACAAACGTAGGAACCTTATTCATCACATAAATTAAATTATTCAGCTTCATAACAAAAAGTAGCCGGTATAATACACTTGCTATATAAACTACCCAGTGTATTCATACATTATTCAGTTAATATAACACTCATTGGATAGAATAAATGGAATATGGCTATTAGTGAAGTTCAGGATGTGAGCTTCGTTCTATTTAGGACTTGTCAACTGGATGTACCTACATCATCCCAGAGTTGATGTTTACTCTTCGAATGATTTAACTATTTTCTCATGAAATTAAAAATGCTACTAATGGAGATGTGAATGTGAGTAGACTGATTAGTTGAAAGACTAAACGTCTCATTTAGGATTGATATCAGTTGTAGAAACATTTAAAACTACGAAGTACTAGATAACAACTTTGTAAACAGTGTTTACCTGTGGCCTCCATATATGGTCAAACTCCTGACTGTTATATCTAGATAGTGTACATAATTTCACCAAACCATTAAGTCATCGCTTAATGATATGAATTTCCATTTTTTGCAAGAAAAGCACCCACGATAACCTGTGATATATGTACGACAACCATCACGAAAAATGTATAGGTATTTATAAACAAGTGTCTATGTAAGATTAGTCAAATCCGTTTACCAAACATTATCAACAACAAGCTACTCTGATAGAGGATTAATCAATCTTCGAATGAGGAGAAGATTAGGAAAAAACTTTGGAGGTGGATATGATATACACTTTGGAAATCATCGAATTGGATCACGATGCAAGTCGTAACTTGGAATGCATAAATCGAAATTAGGAATGTTAGAGTAGGGAACACATGATGTATGGAATTGTAGTTAGATATTGAAGAATGAGTAGAACTTTGTGGTGACTGTAAAGGAGAGTTGAGTACAGATTTGTGTGGAGAATTTTGTTTTGTGGCCTATGTAATGTGAAGAATAACAGGCGTAGGTCAGTCAAGGAGTAATATTTACGAGTATAGAGTAGTGGAGATAGTTGAGTTTTATTGATATCCCGAACCTATCTACTTTTGACAATCTTTGAAAACTTGGAAATAGTTGATGGTTTTTTCATCCAAATATAGGATTGCTTGATAATGGTGGACTTATGTTCCTGGATTCTATTCTCAACTAAAGGGTCGTGGATGTGCATTGCTAAGGGGTCACATATTGAAACGAAACGTCCATTGAGTGTCTCCAAATTTCAATAGTCGTCTAATTCAGATCGATTCGGGATATCATTAAAACTCAACAATCTCCACGTCTCCATTCTGGTATATGAATATGTATACATATCCGTTTTGTGTTTAAATATTTACTGGATAACATTTCTGTAAATTGAATTTGTGAAAATCAAATTCCAGTATATGTGTATGCATGTGCGACAAATTTAACCGAAAATATTAGTTATTTCCCGCTGGAATGAATCCCTCACTGTTCCTTAGTGATGTATATGCTTAGTTTGTAGGAATGAACAAACTTGTGACTCAGTTTAAAACAGTCACTTTTGAATTAATCACTTATTTCTAATCAAAGATTTATAGTGACTAGCAGTTGAATCGAAGCAGCGCATCTCGTCCTATTTGGGACTCGTCAGCTGTATATACCTGCATCTCAAAGTTGATGTTCACTCTGGGGCTCAAACCCAGTCAACCCCTTATTAAGATCTGAAGAGAATTCAGTGAAAACGAAAGAAACCCATAATATTATTCACATCAAGAGCTCGCTACGAAATTTTTAGGTTCTAAGTTCAATGCTATTAATGTTGTAGATCCATACTAGTGTAGAGCCACATACTTGAATAAAATAGCTATCCAGTACTTTTTGGTTCCCAGTGGTTGTCTAGCAAAGGAAGCATTTCTACAATCGAAGAATATACGCAGCTCAAAACAACTTTCTGACAAACAATATCAAAGTCACAATCTTCAACACGAATGTCAAGATAGTCCTACTGTACAGAGCTGAGTCTCGGAGAACTACTACAACCATCATCCAAATTGTACATGTATTATAAATACTTGTCTGCTTAAGATACTTATTGTCCGGATACCATCAACAACAGGCTACTATGGGAGGAGAAACTAAACCAGCTTTCATCTGAAGAGGAAATTAAGAAAAGACGTTGGAAGTAGATAAGACATAAATTATGGAAATCATCAAATTGTATCACGAGACAAACCCTAACATGGAATCCTAAAGGGAAACAGAAAAGAGGAAGACCAAAAAACACACTACGTCGAGAATCGAAAGAGGACATTAAAAGAATGAATAGCACTTGAAAGCAACTGGACAGGACTGTCAGGACAGCGTTCAAAAGAGGATACTGGTGGTTGGCGTAAGCTACTACACGAGAGGTAATAGGCGTAAGTAAATAAGTAAGTAAAATTTAATTATAATTTATATAGAATAGGACTCCTCAGCAGTGCGTACCCACAATCCCGCCCCCCCCGCGAGATTTGAACACAGCCCCAATCAGTCTCGCGCGCGAGCGCTTAACCATTAGACCACAGAACTGGCCGGCATCCAACGGTATTAATGTCCAACTTCAATCAGTCCACGAAGTTGCTACACCGTACACCATTGTCTTCAGTGGGTTCTTATTTCACAACAGACCTGGTTGAACTCCATTAGTAACGGCTTCTCAATAAAACTCCAGGAAATGTCTCTTGAAGTCAGTCACTAGTTAGCAGATGATTATCATGAGAAGGGGTTTTGTGGAGAATTTTATAAATTTCACTAATTGAGATCATGAGTCAATTCAAGCTAGCGCTGAACGGTCGTTT